CGCAACTCTCTCCGGGTCACTCCAACACAATCTCAACACGACACCCCAATATTATTAGTAATATGTATATAATCTGGCTAAAGTTTCTAATACAATCCCCCAGCTGGTGCGCGGCATTGATCCGAGGCAGCGTCGCGTGGCGCGTCGTCGTGCTCCCGACGACACGGCACATTGCTCGACGCACCCTTTCTTTCCGTCCGTGTAACATCACGCTCACATTCTATCAATTTTCGTCTGAGAGACGACTGCGTCGGTTATTCGATTTTTCCTGTGTACCGACACCGCGACGAACCAATTTCCATTGGTCCGTTCGTTGCTTTCCAGGGCTCGTCCGTCACCCTCCTCCAATCCACACCCCTCAACCGCTCGTTTTCTTCTCTCTGTCTCTCTCTCCCTCTGTGTCTCTCTCTCTCTCTCTCTCTCTCTCTCTCTCTCTCTCTCTCTCTCTCTCTCTCTCTCTCTCTCTCTCTCCCTCTCCCTCTCTCTCTATCTACCTCTCTCTCTATCTATCTCCCTCTCCCTCTCCCCTCCCCCTCTCCCTGCCGCTCCCTTGCGCACTCGCTACCCCTCTCTTCTTCCACTCTCATCGTCCACACCTCTTTCGCTGTCTCTCCCTCTCCCTGGCTGTCTCACCCTCTGAACCCTCTGGTCGTTCTTTCTCGCTCTTGCGACGCTGATTTCCGCGGAAAGGACGCGAACGGAGGCGGAGTGAAAAGGACGCGGCGGACACTGGCGGTGGTTGCGCCGGCTGCGGTGAATCGTCCGTGGTACGCGGGGGTGCGCGTACCGAGGTTAGGTCACGACTCTCTCTCTCTCTCTCTCTCTCTCTCTCTCTCGCGTCTCTCTCTCTCTCTCTCTCTCTCTCTCTCTCTCTCTCTCTCTCTCTCTGTCTCTCTCCACCAACGATTCCGCGTTTCGCGTTTCGCCGCGGGTCCCTGGGAAACGGTACACCTGCCATCTTTCCACTCAACGGGCAGACGACGGCGAAGCAGTGCGCGGTTTCGCATCTCCCTGCCGCGTCCCTTGCCGCCCATCACCATCGCCATCGCCATCGCTATCGCCATCGCCATCGCCAACAGCCCACAGCTAGCAGCCATGCGGCTTTCTCTACGCCTCGTCTCTTTCTTCTCTCTTGCCATCCTCCCCTTTGTCTCCTTTTTACCTCGCCACCGTTCCACCGTTATCAATTAGTTATGATATAACAGCGGCTATAAACGAGAAGAATGAGTCGCGCGCTAAATACCCTGACGCGAGCCGTCGTCTCTCTTCGTCAAGCCGTCGTTTCTTTCGTCGACGGCTCAAGTTTTGAAAATGAATAGGAGGAGACCTCCCTCCGTATCTCTTCACTTACATCGATTAAAATTGCTGCTGAAATGTTCGTAATGTATGTAGCGATATAGCTTACGACATTTTTTTACCTCTCTTTAATAGAACGAGCACTCGAATTATGCTCTCGCAGAGATTGAGATTTTACGAGACTAAAAAGGCTTCGAAACGTTTTGCTATTTGATTTTTCACTTTAATGTGTGGGGTCCGATACTTTTCTTCATGCTTTCTAAACCTTCCAGCTGGATAATCTTGGGATTTTCAGGGTTTGGATGAATGTCCGGCTTTACGATACTTAGGAACATTGTATCCTTTAATCTTCCAAGTAGAGAAAGGGAGAAAGAGAGAGAGAGAGAGAGAGAGCAAGAGAGATCATTTGTTCTTTTTCTTCAAGTATCCACTTTCAAACATAAGTATACACACACACACACACACAATGTTTTTTAGTAATATTTATTCAAATTTATCGGATATGTGTATCCGCGCGTGTAGTAAACATTATTCAGATAAAAGCAGCGACATACATTCTCAGCTCCATTCATGCTCGCTAATCACCGAGACAAACGCGCAGAGAGCGATCTCATATGCGATCGCTCTCGAATTTTCCCACATAGCGTAGCTTTGGTTTACGGCCACGTAAGAAGAGAGCGTCGCGCAAGAAGCAGGAAGAAAAAGAGATCCGGTAGTTTCACGGATGTGTAAGACAAGGAGGGAACGCGTAGCCTCACGCATACGCGGCCGCCCCATGTCAGTTTCGTAGAGCAAAATGTTTGTTTAAGTAAGCTCGGAGCCAAACTCTTTTTACTTGTCTTTTCTCGCACGAAATTGATGATTGCACGCACCGCTAATACGGCCACAACGCGGGTTACGCGCGGAGGGCCAGAGAAAAAGAGGAAGAAAAAGACGCGATGACGCGCGCTATGCAGAAGCACAACCAAGGGAGATTTTGTAATCCCGAAATAATCGTCGACGAAGATAGAAAAGGAGAGAGAAAGAGGGAGCAAGGGGGAAGAAAAGAAGAAGAGAGAGGCCGTCGAATCGAGTTCTCATATTTAGCATCAATTCTGGAATTTCCGTCAAGCTTGGAAATGTCTGTGTTGCGTTCAAGCGAGATATTTCAAGGTGTCTGTGCTTTACAATTAGAAAGGAGAAAATATAAAATGGTAAAATGGTA